CTCTCTCTCTCTCTCTCTCTCTCTCTCTCTCTCTCTCTCTCTCTCTCTCTCTCTCTCTCTCTCTCTCTCTCTTTCTCTCTCTGTGTGTGTGTGTGCCTCTCGCGTGCCGTCAGAATCCGCACACGTCCCAGCCGCAACTCGGTAACCTCCAACCCATACCTCGGCCCGGACTTCAACTGAGAACTGTACATATGGATGTAATGGTTATCTGTTGTTGTGCGAGCAGCAGTCTATGGCCACTGTTTTCACTGTTCTTCTTCTTCTTCTTCTACTACTACTACTACTGCTACTACTACTACTACTACTACTACTACTACTACTACTACTACTACTACTACTGCTGCTGCTGCTTCGTCGTCGTCTTCTATGCGCATTTCAACTGAGAACTGTGCATGCGGAGTTGTATTGCTTTTTTCTGTTGAAGCATGTGCGAGAAGCAGTCTATCGCCATTGTTCCAATATTCACTTTTCTTCTTTTTCATCTTCTTCTTCTTCTTGGGGTTTTCAACTGAGAACTGTAGATGCGGAGAAGTATTGAAATATCTTGTTGATACGTGTGTGCGAGAAGCAGTCTATGGCCACTGTTTTCACTATTCTTCTTCTTTCTTCTTTCTTCTTTCTTCTTTCTTCTTTCTTCATCTCAAAGGCTAGGCTAGCCGTGGCCCTGGTTTACCAAATAAAAGCAAACAAACAGCAAGAAAAGTAATCCCATAATATCCCACTCTTTTGTCTTTTCCTTTTCACACTGTTTTTCGTTCCTCTTTCTTTCCAAACACAAATCCCAAATTTGAATCCGATCGGTCGTGATCCAGTCCCATCCACATTCATCACCTTACCATCATCACTCCTTTTCCCTTCAACAAATCAAGCGTTCGAAAACGCTGTACCCTCCACTCCCCTCCCCCACCGTCCTCCCCCTCGAAATCCCTCCCTCCTACAATTTCAAGGGCAATCCTGGCGGCGTTCAGGGACGCTGTGGCGTGACATGCAGAGCTCGATGGCAAAACGTTTTTTGTTTTTTTCGTTTGGTTGACAGCACGATGGCCATTGCCGAAGATGTCATTTTACAATAAGACAAAAAAAAACACAAAAACGACACACAAATCCTATCCTCCTCCTACTCCTCGAGAATCACTACGTGTCAATGCCAAATGACAAAATGCCATGCGTATCGTGTCAAAGAATGTGACTTACACTCATCCATCCATCCATACATACGTACATTCGTCTTTTTTTTTACCTCCTCGAGTTATCCGTTTCATCCTCTTGCGTAGCGGCCATGCGAAGATTTTGTGTATCGTTCCAATTTAACAGCAGCTGCATCGAAGGTCGTCGTTAATTAATTGGTCGTCGCTTGATCGACTCTTGGACTGATTGCTCGTTTGTGCTATTCGAAGAAAATTGATTGGCTGTTGGATCTCAGTTGACTGATGGATTGATTGATATTGGGTTGATTGGTTGTTGACTGATTAGTCCATCCAATTCCTCGACGTACCTACTCGAGTCATAGATAGCCATCCACCTAATCAGCGCTGATAACTCGGAGTTACGTGCTTGGTCTCTCATTCTGAGTCATCAACGTGTGTTGATACGAACACAGATTTCATCAATCAAATCGGACCCCAATCAAACATCATCACATCAGCAACTACAAATCAGACCCAAAAAAGCAATGTAATCTGAAAAAGATCTAAAAAAGAAGTCAACCAATCAAACAACACACAATCACCATATTTCCCAATCCGCGGTTCTGGCAGCCAATCACGACACCAGTGAATCAATTGCCAATCAATCATCAGTTGCTGCAATCGATGTCCAATCGCACCACTCAATCGACGTCACATCACCGAGCATCTCAAAGAGCAGAGAATCAACAAATTATAGATCGATCTAAACCCATCAACCCAACAAATCGAATCCATTTATCACATCATCGATCAAACTAGCCTATCAAATCAGACAAATCCATCTGCCAACACAATAATTAATCAGATAGATAAACAGATCGATCAAACCAGCCAATCAAACCAGACAAACCCATACATGAAATCGTTAATCAATCACAACAATAGATCAAGCAAACCAATCACTCAAATCGGTCAAATCCATCTTCCGCATCAAGGAAACAGATCGTCCAACAAGTCGTTCGATCGCCCGACAGCTACTGTCCAACTGAAAACAATTATTCACAGAAAAACAACCAATCAATCAATCCAATCAATCAATCAACCAATCAATCAATCAACCATCCAACCAATACAGCAACGAATCAATCCGTCGACATCTGAAGAAATGCTCAGAAAACAGGTCCATTCCGTTCGAACACAAAGCAAACAAATGCAAACACAGTTACAGGAGATAACATTTTGCGCAGATGGGGAAAGAAAAAGGTCAGTGTCAATTCCAGAATAAACGAAAAGCAAGATTTAGGCGGAGGGGGCGGAGGGGGCGGGGGGGGAATGAAAAAGAAAACAAGAGGATCACTCACCACGGAATATATTTCAACTGGAATCCATGATCAATCTTGATTTTAAGCAGATTCTCCGGAACTTTCCGGTTAAGATCGCAGATTATGTCCGCGAGGGGTCTAAAAGTGGAGGACGGGGGTAACGTGGCAGACGGAGAAATCGATGGCGATCCCGACGGCATTCGCTGTGTTTGCCGACCGGTCGATGCGGCTCCTGACTGCGGCGCTGGACGTTGCTGATTGGATGAGTCGGAGCCCAATATCTGACCTTGGCCTTGCGCTTCCGCGCAAATCCTGGCAGCCTGCGTGCCCACGCTTGCCACGTGGCAGACGCTGAGGCCACCAATCATCGCCGTCCGTACCGTCATTCCCCGATAACGAGCCTCACAACCAACCGGCCCATGAAACTGCGGATTCAGATGATGGCCGCCATGGAACCTGCACGCGAGCTTGGCTCCGGATACTGAGGCAGCCATACCTGCAGCTCTCACACGCTTGCTTACCACGTGACACGTGGTCACCGTCCCTTTCCACGTGGCACTCATCACCATCAGCCCACTCACTTCAGTCCAGGAAGATGGCGGACCGTCTGACCGGCACAATCAGAACACAAATTGGCTTGAAATGAAGCACAGGGACCAAGGACTCCCGCGCAAAAATTGCCGCCAACATGAAGCACAGGGACCAAGGACTCCCGCGCAAAAATTGCCAACATGAAGCACAGGGACCAAGGACTCCCGCGCAAAAATTGCCGCCAACATCAGCGACAACCGCGGGACATCGCACAGGGTACGACCACGCTCTTCCAAAATGATTCGATAGCAATCCCGACTGAAGAATGCATCTGATGGCAATCACATCCAAAGCTGAGTACAGGGGCTAGGTCCCACTTGCACGGATTAAGAGATGCTGGCCGTTGATCTTTGCTATCTACGGTCAGTATCTCTTAATTCGTGTAAGTGGGACCTAGCCCCAGGGAGGGCATCGGACATCGCCACACCGCTCTCGCAATGTGAAAATGACCAAACCTATGGAAGTGCATCTTTCCCGTGTTTTTGCGAAAAATACATGCTCCATTGGAGTGGTGTGGCGAGGCCCATACTCACACTACCACTGTTCAGCATGTATCGAACCGGAATCTCTGACCGCAGTTACGTCCAAAGCTCAGTCAAAAGTCCAGCGGCCTAGCTCAGTTGGTAAGGCACCCAGGTGGCATTCAGGAGGTCCTGGGTTCAATCCCTATTGCCCTCACGTACCTTCCTGGCCAAACTTGGCGCCAGCCACCTAGAGATATGTCGTTGGTCCCCCCGAGTGGCATTGAGCAGAGACTGCTGATGCTCAAAAGCTGAGGGGACCTGAGGGGTGTCACAGTGACTGAACCATCAAAGAAGCTCGGTCCTGATGCTACCGGCTGACCCCTGGCCGGTATCGCCCACCTGCTGTAACAGGTATCACACCAGCTGGTGGGTGCAGCTCCTGCATGTTCCCTCGTTGGAGGCTTGAGCATGGATGTGCCTGCTACAGGGTTCCCCGTAATACTATAATGACAATAGAAAAGGCCTGAAAGTCCGTCCTTTCCAGATTCAACAGGTAATAAAAAATAAAAAAAAAGCTCAGTCAAAAAGGTCTTACCACTTCGCAGCCATGAAGGCTTCGGTATAGCAGGGTGGGCCTTCTCCACCCAAGCCTTTTCTTTGTTCGGACGACTGGCGCTACGCAGGTTCTAGAGGGGTTGTGGAAGACTGGGACTGGCATCTGTTAGTTCTGATTGGTGCGGCCTGCATTGGGGGTTGGTAGTTCTATAAGAAATGTTGCAAGAAGGGGCTTAGGCTTCGGGGATATGTGAAACTCTGAATACCCTAACCATATCCTGACTTTGGCAAATTGGAGCTCTCATTTTCAACCAAGAAAGAATGTAAACTAAGGGTTTTTTGCATCAGAGAACAAAAAAGGAAAAAAAAAGGTAAAATTAAAAAAAACAAGATAGGCCAGTGCAGCTTCGCCCACATGACATAGTAGGTCAGTGGCTCATTGTGTGACTCTGCCTCTCATACACACGGACTTTTTTCATTAAAAGAAACACAGCAAAACATCAATTATACCACGCAAATACTGCAGCACACTGTCACATTGATAAACGTTCATGAGGTGTCTAGCCCCTGTCCCATCTCTGGCCCCTCCAAATGTTCAGACCCATCTAGCCATTTAGGAGGCCCTAAATTTGACGGCCTCAAAATGACCTGAGTCATTTTTTCGTTTTGGGGTTATTTCATTATGGTTGTTGCCCATATGATAATTTATATGCATTGGAAATTTAATGTTATTTTTCATAACATAAATAACAAATAGAAATCAAAGCACGCTTATATAATCATCCATCGAATTTTTGACAATACAAATACGTTCAGCAACCCCCGTTTTCGTTATCGGCTTCGTGTATATCAATGAATCATAAGTCAACCAAAGAAACATTAATCTATCAATCAACCAATCTAGTACATTCATTCATCGATTCATCTATAAACTAATTAATTAATCAGTAAATATTTTATTTATCATTCAATTACACAAACACAAACACAAGCATCCTATTTGGCATCACTGCAAAACATTATTATGAGGGAATGATTGTTGCAAGTGTACGCCCAACAATACAGACTCGACCGACAAAAAAACAAATAACAAAACATTATAAGATCAACAATCCACCTCCATCCGACGACCAAAATCACAAATTTTACCAACCGTTTTTGGTTCACCGATGCATATTGCATATAACAAAACATGAAGATTGTCGGGGACTAACGTCCTTCGTAACAAACAAATATAGTCATGAAGATTATAAAAAAAAAAAAAAGGTTAAATTTTTAATAATCGTTTAAAACTTATCAGAATTTATCAAACAATTAGCAAAAAATTGTTAGAGCAATTATCAGTCGTACATCAATGCATTTGTTTTTAATTGTATTGGACCCCGAATGCGGTCATATTCAATTACAAATCATCGTTCGAGTCCTTCATAATAATGAGATTTTCAAATATATCCCTGAAAAAAAAATTAACACTCTGTAAAAACATCTAACATTCTTTGACAGTCCCCCAAAAATATCGGCTTCTTGCTGTCTAGTGTTATGTAAGGTCTTGCCCCGCTTCTACGTTAAGCCACATTGATGTTGAAATCGACCGCTCCCTCTCTCGACAAACATGTTTTTCCACAGCGGGGTAGGTTTTCCGCTATTATGAGTCTTATGTGACACTCGTGGTTAATAGGTGGTGTCATGTTTAGTGAATTTTTCATCGAAACTGCCATATTTTCCTGGATTTTTGTTTTTATTTTTTTTGTCTGATAGGTATAAGTTTTATGGTATATATCTGTTTAATTTCGACGTATTTGGATGAGTAATAAAAAAGTTGGCAAAAACACAGAATTTGGAAAACATTTTGGCGAGCTTCGAAAGCTACTTCCAATAGGGTTTTATAGTGTTGTTCAAAAAAAAATAAAAAATTTTATCTGTTTTTTTTCTTTGTTTATATTGAGAATCTGCATAGTTTGTTTGCAAAATTTTCGATGACATTGCTTGTAGTGATGCGATGTCGAGCGCATCGGCCCTCGCGTGAAAACGAGGGCCCTCCCGGCCACGTCACGCAAGAGTTTACCTAAAAACACATCTCTCAGAGACAACTCGGGAACGACGCATACTGTTTCATGAACCGTCGAGACGGACGCGGTTGCTTCGCTCCTTCGGCGCTCTAGCCGGGTGCGCCAGCTATACATCCCACGGTCCCCTATGACAGGACAGGTTCCCGCGGGGCATAAGCTTGCATCCCTAAGGGGCTGTCATTACCCTTAGGGGCATATCCCTACCGAGCTACTGATCCACGTGCGAAGGTTTTTATATGCAATCGCAGAGGTAGATCAGTCGAGGGCGTTTGCTCGTCTCGCTGCAGTATAGGAATTGTTAGACTAAACGCTGAATGGACCCGTGCGTCGTTCCCAAGTACGAAGTGTACGCCGGTCGACTAGGACATTCTCAACGAAACGTGAAAAACAATCCTTAGTCCCTAGTAATCAAACAACAAAAATCCCCATACTAAAAAAAACAAAATCACACAATCCAAATCGTTGACTTTATGAACTGGTCTGCCAAAGTGTTTATTTTTCAACCTGTATGACTGAAAGAATTTTTTATATTGTCGTTTCAAGATTATTAATTTAAAGAAATAAACTAAGAATGATTTTTTTATCATGACTACGGAAACTTGTCATGAATAGCTTTTGTAAACAAATATTTCTGACAACATCCGGATCGATAAGTGATCTGGTTTCTGGTCGATGTTTGAATTCCCGGTTCGACCGCGCTTCCGTACCATATTCAATTATTTTGGAGGAGCAAGTAACAACCTTGTTGGTCGCTTTGCCCTCCTGTACAATAATTACTCTTTCTGTTTCACGAATGATGGAGTATTAATCTCTAATGCTAAGTTACGCAACGCAAAAATATTTCATCTTCCGCTGCTTTGCTTGACCACCTTTTCAGACGTTCGTTTTTCACTCTATCCAACTTATTTTTATGCGAATGATTACCCCTCAATGCATAAGCATGATAGTGAAATCATCGGGGTAATCCGAATACTATCCATCCGACGGTCCTAACTACATAAGGTGTTTTGTTTTTGTTTTTAGATTACCTCGTGAAACCATAAGTTATATGGTTTCCTCAACAGGACTGAGTCCATGCAAAGTGTTTTCTGAAATTTGAGTAAGATTTCAGAAGACGATGTCTAATCCTGGTAAATCTCTCGCCCGCCACGCACCTGTGCCTCCAATAAATCCAAACGTGCTAGCTCGTCGTTGTCGAAAATCAAAGTAGACCTTCTTCCACATCGCATGACTCTAACAATCCGAGTATTATAGAAGAAGGTCATCCGAGAGGCTAGTCTCCAAACTATAACTCGGAGAGGTCGACTAAGTCTAAACAGATGTCGAGTCTCTGTGTCCCGGATCCGGACGACGCCGAAACGCCTACCGGACGAGGTAATCTTGATATTCACAATGACTCGAGAGAGGCATTGGAGGTTACTCGCGCGGTGGAAATACAAAGTGTATCCGTAAAGTTCGTTGGGAGTCCGAGCCGTGTTGGCTCGGAAATCCGCGCGAGTAGTAGGGAAAAATCCCTCGCCATTTTGAAGCAGTCCGATGAAGCCGAACCATTCGATAGGAGATCCATCCCGTATTCGTAAAAGTCGTGCCGCACTCCTGATAAGATCCTCCTCGTGTGTATCACGGACCAGCAGATACCTCGGTATCGTCAAGTCTCGTCGTGCTCCAAGCATCTACGTATCAGAACGAATTCAAATCAGTTACGTAAAAACTGTTCAACTTCTTCCGCGTCATTTCCCAATTCATCGTCATATAATGCTTCAGCCCCTATAATTGCATACCTATTGGCACGTATCCGCTCCGCATAGTATATGTCAAAAAATGGACCTTGCCGCTCGTTCAGCCAAAGCACGTAACGGACGAATATCAACCTTATTTCAGGGACTTCATCCACTCGTGGGTTGATCTCATAGGGTTGTAACACCACCAGGTTCATATTGACGAAATGACGCTCAGGCAATGGCGGTGCGAACTCGTAATGAATAATATCCAGATCGTTATCACTTATGAAAATAAGTCGTCTGGGGGGTCTTTGTGCACTACCACCCCAAAATCGTGGAACGTCCTCTTCATAATATAATCCTGACGGATTATT